TCTCAATTTATTTCCCTTGCGTCAAATTTAAGCACCATGATGATATTCGGAATTTTCTGCATAATACAATTTGTGATGAGAAGTATAGGTCTATGTTTATTTCGATTCATAAGGAACACTGAGCGACTTTTGTCGTTAATCCAGGTCCGTAGATAATATGATTTCAACAATAAACCATTCTTATTTTTACGTAAATGAATACATAACGTTCACATATTGAACTTTAATGATGATTCACTTAAAATTCATTTACTGACTTATTGTATATTTAGGTTTCAAATATACCTGTAAAGCATAGATTATGTCACCAGTTAATGACACTGTATTATATTGAAAAAAAATAAGTTATATAGGTTTCAAATATACCTGTAAAGCAAAGTTTATGTCACCAGTTAATCTCACTGTATGATATATATAGGATCTCCCATGATTTGTAGTTGGATATGATTTTTATCCAACGAGTTGTGTGTTTTTTTTATCCCCGAGCCTTGGCGAGGGGATAAAAACACATAACGAGTTGGATAAAAGTCATATCCAACTACAAATCATGGGAGATTCTTTTTATACCATGTTTAATACTTCACAACCAATGTTTTACACTGTTTTATATTTTACTTCATCGCGCTAACGCAAAAACCATTGTGACGTCACAACTGTGGATTATGAAAAAATTATCCAATGAGTCATATCCACGGGATAAAGGGGTAAACATGGGATAAAAGAAAGAAATATATGAGGAAATGTCTTACAATTTCAATTCTAAACATTAAGAATGTTTTCTTTCTTGATAAGTGAAGAGATTTTTCAAAATATTGAATTTAATTCAAATCAGGGAATGACACAGTTATGGGGGAGCAGAGTAGCAAATATGGATATCCACACATCTGATTTAATTGAATAAATTCATTATAGTTACATTTCTTATATTCCTGTTTTATATTATTTCATTATTTCAAGATCAAACCAATACTAATAATAAAGTTTCAAAGTCAGTTTAATTGTGAAGGTAAATTAAGATTTATGTGATTCATTATGGTCACCCAAAAGATTAAAATACGGCGTCTCGTATTACAATATCAGAAAAATACAAGTAATTGTTCCATTTATTATAAAAACATTGATTGACTAATAATAAAAACTTTGATACTATGGTCAACTATAGAGAACAATAGTTATAACTATAGTATTTTCTTAAGGGTATTTTTAAGTGGGGTCCTTGGAGGTTGTATTGTGTAAACTTTAATAGTTCCATTCTCTCTTGGTTTTACCTATTCTTGATTTAATTTCATCTCAGATTAATCTCATCTTTGATTTGCAATTGTACTCATTTTTTTTTCTTCGCGGTGGATTTAAAGTCATAGGACATTTTTTGACTTTGGTTTGATCTAATAATCATGGATATCATTATGATTTAACTATTTCTTTCAAGAGGGGGCATAAAACATATCATTTAAAGTTTCTTAAGAATCCCATGTACTGAATTTTTGCAACACAAACTACCAGAACAATATCATTATATAGTCTTGAAACACGTTCGAGGATTATCCAAAAGAAATCGTGGATACATGCTTTTTTGTTTAAAGTAACGACACTGCCACATGTGTGCGATAATATTTAAATACAGACCAAGACGGGCAAAAATGAGAATCAATGCACGATATCTTACAAATGTTATCAACAGAAAAACTTTGTATATACAATAGCATAATCTTTTTTACAAGTTAAAAATATTTTTAACTCTGCTGTTTTTTCTTGATATTTCCACTGTCATAATAATAATTGATAGTTACAATATCAGAAGAAAAAAAAACGCCAGCCATTTTATCTCTTTTTACAAAGTTTACAACATTGTGTCCCTGGGCCGTGCACACTTTTCGCGATCATTTAAGACGGCAATTATATATAAAATTGAAATTTAAACAATCAAAACCAACTAACAAGACATATGACAACCATTTTGGTATACAATATGTATTTGTACGATCATTCAAAATGACAAAAAGGCCATTGTCGTGTTGGAAGCATTTGTTTGCCAATTTCAGCATTAGAATTCTAGAAATTGTGTATGTTTTTGCTTCTTAATAACACTGTATTAATGAAAAAAAAACTTAAGTTTCTCAATCAGCTAACATAAAGCCAACTGAAATTGAAATATATCCAATTTCACGAACTCATTATTCTCTCCTTTTGAAAAAAAAAAAAGCTTTTGGTCTAGATACTATATCCTTTTGGCGTGCAGATATGTACTGTTATGTAATATTTAACCATATGTCTAGGTGAATTTAGGGTTTTAACCTTGAACGAAAAAGCCTTTGTTTTAAAATAATACGAGCGTTGATTGCCTCGAAGATTGAAGATTAAGGATAAAATAATAATTTGCATAAAATTCATCGCAATCGTGCACAAAGTGCTCATTTAATTAAATTGATCAATTAAATAATTCATAGAATGAATACGTACTGCTAATAAAACCCATGGAATTAATATTACTGATAAAAATGTACAAGACGATAATTTTGTTTACCATAATATCACCCTTCTGCTTTAAATTAAGTTCAGAACAGTGTAGCGTATGAATATCGTAACTATCAACGATGGAGTAAATAAATGTTATCACGACAATGCACACTGGTTATAAGATCTCTTTTAACAATAAACAATCATTACCACATTTCTGAAAGGCATATGTTGAACATGATTCAACAAGAATGAGAACTGGTTGATCTCATAGTATTGCACACTAAATCAAGTGATGTACGTATACAATAATAATCACCCGGTATAGGTACAAATCGCCCCCACTGCAATTGACATACAGATACACTTACATTTCCCACACTCACAAACCTCCTATCAGAGCAAAGAGTCTGTCACAAAAAAAATATTTTCACAGTTCTTTCAGTTTAACACTGCAAAGATACGTTAAAGCAAGCTTTTAAAAATGTTATATTGTATAGACAAGTATTTTACATGAACCGAAATATAAATGATGAAAGCTAAATCAAAAAGCATTATTGAAATGTTCGTACTACTGCAATACAGCAAAACCTTTGATGTATCGTAAAAATTGAAGTATATGCAAATGTATGAATGTCCTTTTTCTTATATCAACCATTCAAGCTTCAGTAGATACAGGACACTCACAAGCATATTTTCAATACGAACGTTGTCCACAATCGTTTCCTTAAACATATTAAAGCAAAAACAGAATCTTTGTCGGTAATGTTGTGTGCCATTTGCTTAAAATACTGTATTGCATGTGTAGTTCAATAGTTTTGAGGTCTTGTAATAGAGCAAAACAAAATATTAAGATTCATGTCATCGACATTTTAGCAGTGTTAGAGAAACTTTATTGACTGAATCAAGAACTGTCGTTTCCAAATCTATGTCTCAGTATGTGACATATGATATTGGCTAAATTCATGTCAAATATCACATTAATTGAACGAGTGGCAAAAACGTTATATACCCCGAAATGAGGTTTAAATATCAGGAGTGCCATATTTTTTGTGAGACCAAGGCTGGGTTTTTGGAGTAGGAGTATGATATTCCAGATTCCTACTATTGTCGATTATTGACCACGGGGACATCCAATTTCCATTTGTTCCTGTTAATGTGTTCAGGTGTTTGTATGTCGAATGTTTTCTTTCATAAAACATTTTGACTGTTGATGTTTATTGTTGAAAGTTTAAGAAATTATCTATTGTTGTTTTATTCATTTTTCTTTGTTGCATTTTGTGAGTCAGCTCTCACACTTTCATTCAACACTTACGTGAATGAAAGAGTCCCATATGTAATAAGCCATTAATTATAATAATCTGACCTCATGAAGAACACGTCCTAAATAGCTGTAATGCAGCAGACAGAGCGAATCCTCTTCTTCAAGATAACGAGGTTTCATTGTAGATAAGTATCATAATTAAACTTTTTGAGATGTATTTCCTTTCAATAAAAAAAAAAGAATAGTCCACTTTCATTATACATGTAGATTCTAAAAATGTACATTTTTCTCAATGTTCTCTATTGCTTCAAATTAAATCTCTATGTTGATATTCGGAACTCGATGCATAGTACGGATGTTTATCAGAAGTATATGTCCATGCATAGTATAAAAAGGGGCAGTAATTAATGTTTTGACAAATAATATATTTACTGAATAATTGTAAATTAAGATTTTAATTTTGTGTGCAATGTATATATAATTATTTTCACCACAGAATATCCAAGAAATTAAGTACTTTATTAACTTATTTATGGATTATCTAAAGACCATTTTTGCTAGCTATGTGAATAAACTTGTGATAATTTTTCGAATATTTTAATGCAAATTAGGGAATTCTACAGTTCTGGAAATTGAGCAAAATAACAAATTGGGTTGTATAGCTAGCTTTTTAAACTTGTTAAGCTTTAAACCATTCATCATGCATATATTTGTAACATTTCTGGTATATTCAACTATAAACAAACACAAGTTAATAAAGTTTCAAAGTCAGGTTCAATTGTGTCCAGGTACATGTAACATGAAACAAAATATTTGTGATTTATTATAGTCACTCAACAAATTAACAGTTGGCGTCTAAATTAGATGGAAATTTATGCAATGTTTTGATTGCGTTTAGAATTGAAACCTGATGGGAAGGTGTGTGAAACCGTTTGTTAAGTCTAATTTAATATTTATTACATCAGCATTAATAAATATTTGCAATCACTTTAACGTTTGTCTTTCAAGTATCATACAATCTTAGTAAGGTACATTACACTAAGACAAAATGGTTTTGATTTTTCTACAAGCTTTTCTGAGGGGAATTATGCTAATTTCAATACATAGTGTGGTCATTGTATCCCCATTCATTGTGTCGCAATACTATTCAATCGTTCCTGGAATGAATGACAGAACATTTAATGGTAGTTTTCTTGAAAGCTCATCGGTTTCTTCTCTTGTTATGTGCGCACTTAAATGTCAGGACAAATGCACGTGTTTCGGGCATAATGAAATTGTCAATGCATGTTATCTTCTCGAACAGTGTCATGATCAATCCCTGGAAACAATTATGAAAGGGTGGCGATATTTTCGTAAAAAGGAAATAACTGCAGTTACAACCTCAACATCCATAACCAAAACAGGCACAGCAACCACAAAAACCACAACCAAAGCCACAACAGCCACAGCCACAACAGCCCCAGCAACCTCAGCAACAACAACGGCCACAGCAAGCACAACAGCCACTACAGCCACAGAACCATCAACAACCACAGCAACAGCAACCACAGCCACTGCAGCCCCAGAAACCCAAGCAACCATTACGACCACAGCAAGCACAAAAGCCACAACCACTACAGCCACAGAACCATCAACAACCACAGCAACCACAAGCACAGCCACAAAAAGCACAACAGTCCCAGCAACCACAACAGCCACAGCAACCACATTAGCCACAACCATTACAGCCAGAGAACCCACAACAACCACAACCACAGCCACAACAACCACAGTAACAACTTCAGCAACCACAATCACAGCCACATCAGCAAAAGCAACCACAGCCACAAAAGCCATAACAACAACACTAGCAACAACAACAACCACGGCAACCAAGTTTGGACCAGATGCTGGTGAGAAAAAAAAATTAATATCTTATTTTTTTATCTCTGATCCAAAATTTCTTTAATGTAACATGTGTTATTATTTGAAGGGATCTTTATTCCTTATTCAAAAATTCCCCTGATGTAACAGGGGTTATTATTTTAAGGAATCCTTCTGTATTGATATACTCAACATTATTCTTGACATGAAAGGAAAGGTTACACACATGATTCTTTGAGACACATTCTCAATACCTATAGGATGCATATATGGTACGAGAGAATATATGATTTTATTTATTTCTAAAGACAATTTATTCAGTGAATAAATAAATAAATAAAACTAATAACTACGATAACTAGATATATGTATACATATATTCTTTGATAAATATTTAAATAAACGTCGAAGAAAACAAACAAGATCTATTTTTGATTATAGTTGGTATCCATGGACGTGCTAAAATATTTTGGAAAATAACTGATCAAATTAAAAAATATGAAATATTGAGTCATGAACATCACCATTTCTAAGTGATGATTCAATTTAAAATTGTGTCACTTTCATTGTAACTTCTATGCTCTAAAAAATTTCTGATGAATGTAAAAAACAAAAACTTATGTTAATTCCAATGCAGGTCAGCAATTCTAAGTATACAGATTTATGTTGGTATTGGTAAGTAAAAAATATTTTCGATTTGAGAAAGCTATAAGATATAATACATTAAAAAAAATTGATCCCCAGTGATTTTTTCTAGGGCACCAAATTTTTTTGCTGAAAGAAATTTAAGCGCTTATTAAAGCGATTTGTAACAAAATTGAAGATAAAATGACAACAAATAAGTAAATTTCTTTTGTTCTAATTTTTTTTTCCTTACGAAATCGATGGAAAAGAACGAAGACAATAAAATGACAATAAACTAGAGAATATTTTGAGCAAAATCGAAGCTCTGATGATAAATATAAAATTAATTTATAGTGTGCATAATTTATTTAGATATGAAAGAGAGATAAACATTTTTCAAAATTAAACGAACGGAATAATTCCTGCAATGATAAGGATTTGATTGAAACAAAATCGTGTTTGCGTCACAAAAAAATTTATTACCCTGATTTTCTAAGAGTAATTTTAACTAAGCATGCTCTTAAAGCAACTTCATCCTTTCTTATATGTAATATAGTGGGTGGACACTTCTTTACTACTATGTGATAAAATTTTATCAAAAAAAGTTTTCTCTCTTTCAAAACACAAAAAACCCCTTTTTTTTCAAGATTAAAAATCTGTAAAAAAAATTTTTTTTAATTTCCTTATGCGATAGGAATTTTAAAAAAAATCAACATTAAATGCAGCTATTAATAACATGTACATATTTGTAAATGTAAAAACAAAAACACATTTTGAAAATCTAACATTTCCAAACGATTACCCCAACAAAAATATATCATAGTTAACTATAGTTAACTATAGTATCAAATTTTTTGCTATAGTATATCAAAGTTTTCACTATAGTGAATCATAGTATCTCTACTATGGGATTTAGAATGTTTTATGTTATATAGTTCATACATACAAATTTGTTATATCAATTGGAAATATGACTTGAATATTAACATATTATTTGCAGATTTTACATCCTTGGTATTAAATTTAAGAGATTTTAGACATTAAAATCTCAAAACAAGTTCTAAAGTTAAGTTTCATATTAAATCAAAGTAAAATTGTATTGACGTTAATTAACCATATTAACTTTAGTAAACTATAGTCAACTACAGTTGACTAGAGTAATTTTTTGTTAGAGTATTTTCAAGATACTCAATAATCTGAGTGCGAAAGTAATCGTTAACTCTTCTTGAGTAAAGAACTCAAAGGTTTCTAGAGCACATTGAAAAACAATTCTCTAAAAATAAAACCATTTAAAAAAACAAAAAGGTTTCAAAGTGAACGACGATGGAGTTATTTTAAAGAAATTATATATTAATGAAATTTTCACTAACGTTTTTTATCCATAATTTCATAATATTAGTATAAAAATTCAGGAAAACCTCTCGATAATTGCTGGATGTCCACAGATCTATTTTCATATTCTGAATTTAAAATAATTTTTAAATCAGGATTAATATTTTATACAAACGTTACAATATCGACATCATCAGACGGTCTTTGAGATCTCTTCTTTCTTTCAATAATGACCTTAAAATACCCAAATGGTACTTTTTTCCACATTACCAAAAAAAAAAATTTCATAATGATTACACTTTTTTCGGGGGGAATCATTTGTAACTTGCTCAAATCACACTTTCAACAAACTCCCCTTATCAAAAATATTCTTCATAAGAACAACAGTTACATGTATTTTGTCAGCTGAAAGGTGCAAGTTTTGGGGGCTTAGCCCGATTCGAGCAGTTAAAGACCTATATGGAATTAATTCATGATATCTCGCGGATCGACTGCAATTTTGGTAGAGGGATTAATGCTTATTACAATCATGCCAACAGTTTGACTGCTTGATTTTAGTGGTTTTGGTCCCTCCCCTCATGCCCGGAGGGGGGGGGGGGGGGGTTAGGGACCATAAAATTCACACTTTTTATTTCCTTTTACCCATATATGCTGATTGTAATAAGCATTAAGCCCTCTACCATAATTGTGAAATTTATGGCCCCAGGGTCAGGGGTTCTGGTGCTAATTTATGGCATTTTATTACTGAAGGATAAAATAATACTTAAGATTTTTTTCATTATAGCTGTGGACAAAGTGTACTTGGTTGGATCTAGGAAGAAGTAATATGAAAGAGATCGACAAACTGAAGAAATTATGATAAAGAAGAGCAATATTTATATGTTCCATTTAAATTCAGATTCAAGCATACATCTATATAGTCGGAATAATATAGTGTGTACTTTGTAGTGCCAATGCATGTTTCTATATTATCTTTGAAAATGCTCATAAGATTAATTTTACTTTAAAATGAATATTAATTGGAAAGAATACTTATCATATATACTTTGTTGATGTACACTTCGCTATCATTGGAAAGAAATAAAAGAGTTTCAACATTCTTATGTATTGATAAGTTTTCTAATCGAAAATATAAATTGATAAACACTGTAAAAACTGTTGGTGAAGTTTGTATAATGTTCAGCAAAGATTGATAAATATTCAAGGAAAAGTACAGACCCTGAAACGTGCTACTACCCCAAAAAAGCGTGTGACTTTCGTGCGCTTTTCGTTTCGTGCAAATCGTGTAGCGTTTCGTGTAAACCGTGCAGCATTTCGTGCAAACCGTGTAGCGTTTCGTGTAAACCGTGCAGCGTTTCGTGTAAGCTCCAAAGCGTTTCGTGTAAACCGTGTAGCGAGCGTGTGAGAAACGTGCAACTTTCGTGCAAGAATCGTGTGAGAAACGTGTAGGAATCATTCGGAAGTCATTTTATTTTACATATGGCTATTGATGGATCAACATGTCATTCTGTGTTGTTTGTAACTAATACTATTCGGATATATCATACCAGGGGTATTTTGAAAGATAAAAATACGGAAACAACAAAATAAAAGTACTCGGTAATGTATACATATTTGTTTGATTTTCTTTCTTTTTTATTTAAATAAAGATGGAAATAAAATGTGTTCAAAGTAATTAATTATATGCACATCAATTTTAAAGTATTTTATTCAATATATTTTTTAAACGGAGCAATACTGAACATTTTTTTTAAAGGAAAATTCATCAGGAATCCGGTCTTGTCCTTTTCATTCATTTAATGAATCTCTTCACCATTTTACAATTATAGTATATAGAGATTATATTGGAACATATGGGTGATTAATGCAAAATAATTATAGAAAGATAAGACAGGCGTAAAAAATACAATACAAAGTTTAGTGCGTTGCTATAAATGTGAAGTATGGGAATTCTAGGCGGAACACTATTTTTTTTCTTCATAAACGAACATAATTTTCCTATATTACAAGATTGTGATACAAATAAATTTGAAACGATGAGTCATTTATAGTCTTTTTATGCATAAAATTGGTTCATTAATAATTGTTTTATAAATGAAACATAATTCACATGCATCGGCAAATACAGGGTTAAATATTTCCCGGGGGAGTGGGGTGGGGTGGGGGGGGGTCAAATGAAAACATAATTTTTGAGTTTTTATTGTTAGCAAGTTTTTATAAATATTTCTTTTTTAAAGAAAATAATGTTTTTCGGGGTGCCCCCGATGCACCCCTTAAAAATATATTGGAATCTTCTTTACACTTCCGAAACTCTTCTTACAACTGTGATCAAGGTCATTTACAACAGCGATCATGGGCTCCATGTGCCGGGAACTGAAAACTTGGTCTAGACAGGGTTTGAATCAAGGATTTTACAACGTGGTGGGTATATTAATTTTATTTGATAATCACAATGCCTCAAAAGAGAACTAAAGAATTACAATACCTATCCCCCGGCTTCTCTGCCATATTAAATTTTAAAGATAAATCAAAGTTTAACTCTGTAATTAAACGATATATATATTTATATATATTTATATTTATATATATTTACATTATATATATATATATATATATATATATATATATATATATATATATATATATATATATATATATATATATATATATATATATATATATATATATATATATATATATATATTTACCATTCTGAATAAAATGCATTTAATGAATAACTGAATAACATGTATCTGGTCTGGCTGGAAACATGGATATCTTTTTTTTCATAGAACGGGCCTTTGTTTCTATAATAATTTTTTCCCAAATGGTATACTTACTGAAAAAAGTTCCCGTTATATTTAACCATGTACAGAAGTAAGATCTCGGTAATCTACCCCCCCCCCCCCTTTTCCTGCACAATGTCCTTGTTTGATGCAGTATTCATATTACCTTTGCAAATTATAAACAGAACCTAATTTAATGAAATCAAAGTATTTATTTACTTAATCAAAAAATGAATAAATCAACTTATAATTTATCAAGCTAATTCAGAGAATTTGTGTCCCCCGCTTAGGGAAAAAGAAGAGCATGCGCAGTTCGGGGGAGCGGGGTCACACTGCCCCCTGTATTTGTAGAATTATTAAATGTATACATGTATATTGTAGCAAATTAAAAAAAAAGCCAATATGGATATAAAGATTTGATTGCTTTTTCTTTGTGTACTCGTATAAAAGATTTCTTTAAAATACTATATACAGAATATTTATCACACTGTAATATTGATTTTATGAGTTTGTACACGCCAGACATCATAACTTTTTCATTTCACATGTTGAATAGTATCAATTAGTAAATCAAAAAAAAAAAAAAAAAAAAAAAAAAAAAAAAAAAAAACATTAAAAAAAAAAAAAAAGAATCGTCCGAAGATTGAACCCGGACCTCTCGCTTGCCAAGCTAGCAACATACCACTAGACCACGGAGGCACTTAATCATAGAGCAAATTAAAATGCAAATATTAAGTCACATATAATATTTATATTTCACGTTTGATATTGTCAAAATTTTACACAATAAATGTTGTCTTAGAATATAAAGTCCGCAGACAACCGTAATAACTCTCCACATGCCCCTGTGCTAAAAATAGTGCCAAGCGACTTTTAATACAATAAATAAATTTTAAAAAAACGGGGTGGGACACTTTGAGAGGGGCAAGAGAGGCCATAGGGAGTTATGGTATAAAATTTCATTGCAAAAGCTCAAAAGCGTTTTGAGATATCGCCTGGAAACTAAAGTGTTACACACAGACGGAATTTATGAATTAACGACCTTGAACTTTGACCTTTTGACCTCAAAATCAATAGGGGTCTTCCTTAGGCCACAGGGAGTTGTTATGTAAAATTTCATTGCAAAAGCTCAAAGAATTCGCGAGATATCGCGCGGAAACGAAAGTGTTAAAACAGACAGAATTTATGAATTTATGACCTTGACCTTTTGACCTCAAAATAAATAGGATTCTTCTTTAGTCCATAGGGAGTTGCTATGATTTCATTGCGAAAGCTCAAAGGGTTCTCGAGATATTGTGCGGAAACGAAAGTGTTATAGACAGACAGAAATACAGACGGACGGACGCACGGACGGACGGACAGACAGACCCAAATTAATATCCCCTACTTTCAGTGAAAGCGGGGGACAAAGAAGAGAAGAAAATCAATGCGTTTACATGTACATAAATCATACGCAATTTAATTTATTTTTCCAAATCAATAACTGGGTTTATTTGTCAGTAATAAAACGGCTTTTTAATATCAAACTATAATTGTTAAAACATTGAATGCTGTAAAAGATTATGAATTACAAATATATTTTTTTTTCAGTTTGTAATTTAGAGACTAGTGAAAAAGGTTTCTACATAGACCATGATAGGCATTTCATCGGGCGGGTCACATACTCAATAACTATTAATTAATTACAACTTGACATTGAATATTTTATCTGTTAATATAGTACTGGTGTAGCGAGTTCTAATCTTAACTTAATTTGAATGACTTCAATTCTTAACTAATCTTTGATTAATCCGTAATAATTTAAATAAAGTTCGAGAGATTCCGAATAGAAAATCCAGATCGAGGCCAAAGCGTACGAGAATCGTGTACAAAGCGTTTCGTGCAGGCTTTCGTGAAAACCGTGCAGCCTTTCATCCAAAGCGTTTTGTGTAAACCGTGTAGCGTGCGTGTGGGGTAGTAGCACGTTTCAGGGTCTGTATATACCGTTTTATTAACTTTCGATTTTTTATTATGCCCGTAATTTTGTTTATCAATTAATCTACTCATTTACTATTTATTGAAGTTTTCAACAACTTAATTGAATAAAATTCATTTACATCCACCGAATATTTTTCTCCTTATTTCTTATGAAAATCACTTCAATTTATCAATTCGTTAACACCGATAAACTAGATAAAACTGGTTATTCCATGCCATCTGTATGAATTTGTGCTTTTCAATGAAACACACAATGACGAATAAGTCAATAACAATACTTTATGCGTACTTAAATATACTTTATACGAGTAGTTATACATACATAGATATAAACAATAAAATATCTTTCTTTTCTTTGTTAATACGGGATAAACGCTTGAAACTATTGTGTAACCGTATTATGTCTTTTGTCTGCAGTAGTACAACAGTTATATCCCACATTAACAAAGAAAACGAGTCACCCGCGTGGCGCTGTGGTTAGAGGGTTTGCTCTGGAGTCGCGGTGTAGGGAGTTGTGACGGTACATATTGTCGTTTTGTTCATATTGTCGTCGGCGACAATATGTACCTAACCTAATTGCACATATTGTCGTCCATCAGTACATATTGTCGCCGACTGAAAAGTTGCACATGTACATATTGTCGCTGGCGACATAATGTGTCTCACCCTCACTGTACATATTGTCGCCCCACAGATATTGTTGCTTAAAGATTTCTTTTGTTGTTTTTTTTTTTTTGGTAGTTTTGTGAATGTAATTGGTGTGTGAATCACACTGACGTGTCTCGTGTGCTATTTCATGCAGCGTGATTGTGACGGTACATTTCGTCGTCCTGTTCATATTGTCGTCGGCGACAATGTGTACCTACCCTCACTGCGCATATTGTCATCCATCAGAACATGTCGTATGACTATGCACTGCAATGCTCCATATACGAGGGGTTATCAAAAAGTTCGTGGACTGATGCGATAAAATTAATACTATGTAGTCTGTGCTTACAAAATTTATGAAAAACATAAATCAACAAAAGTTTAAGAAATGTTGAAAATTTTAATTTGATACATTGATAATTTGCCAAATTATTCTAAAATAAAAAAGACATTATATGATCACCCGGCGCTGTTGCCGTTTAGTTTCATGACGTCCGACAACGTCATTGTTTCTCA